GGGATTCCATCCAGCGGGGATTCCATCCAGCGGGGATTCCATCCAGCGGGGATTCCATCCAGCGGGGATTCCATCCAGCGGGGATTCCATCCAGCGGGGATTCCATCCAGCGGGGATTCCATCCAGCGGGGATTCCATCCAGCGGGGATTCCATCCAGCGGGGATTCCATCCAGCGGGGATTCCATCCAGCGGGGATTCCATCCAGCGGGGATTCCATCCAGCGGGGATTCCATCCAGCGGGGATTCCATCCAGCGGGGATTCCATCCAGCGGGGATTCCATCCAGCGGGGATTCCATCCAGCGGGGATTCCATCCAGCGGGGATTCCATCCAGCGGGGATTCCATCCAGCGGGGATTCCATCCAGCGGGGATTCCATCCAGCGGGGATTCCATCCAGCGGGGATTCCATCCAGCGGGGATTCCATCCAGCGGGGATTCCATCCAGCGGGGATTCCATCCAGCGGGGATTCCATCCAGCGGGGATTCCATCCAGCGGGGATTCCATCCAGCGGGGATTCCATCCAGCGGGGATTCCATCCAGCGGGGATTCCATCCAGCGGGGATTCCATCCAGCGGGGATTCCATCCAGCGGGGATTCCATCCAGCGGGGATTCCATCCAGCGGGGATTCCATCCAGCGGGGATTCCATCCAGCGGGGATTCCATCCAGCGGGGATTCCATCCAGCGGGGATTCCATCCAGCGGGGATTCCATCCAGCGGGGATTCCATCCAGCGGGGATTCCATCCAGCGGGGATTCCATCCAGCGGGGATTCCATCCAGCGGGGATTCCATCCAGCGGGGATTCCATCCAGCGGGGATTCCATCCAGCGGGGATTCCATCCAGCGGGGATTCCATCCAGCGGGGATTCCATCCAGCGGGGATTCCATCCAGCGGGGATTCCATCCAGCGGGGATTCCATCCAGCGGGGATTCCATCCAGCGGGGATTCCATCCAGCGGGGATTCCATCCAGCGGGGATTCCATCCAGCGGGGATTCCATCCAGCGGGGATTCCATCCAGCGGGGATTCCATCCAGCGGGGATTCCATCCAGCGGGGATTCCATCCAGCGGGGATTCCATCCAGCGGGGATTCCATCCAGCGGGGATTCCATCCAGCGGGGATTCCATCCAGCGGGGATTCCATCCAGCGGGGATTCCATCCAGCGGGGATTCCATCCAGCGGGGATTCCATCCAGCGGGGATTCCATCCAGCGGGGATTCCATCCAGCGGGGATTCCATCCAGCGGGGATTCCATCCAGCGGGGATTCCATCCAGCGGGGATTCCATCCAGCGGGGATTCCATCCAGCGGGGATTCCATCCAGCGGGGATTCCATCCAGCGGGGATTCCATCCAGCGGGGATTCCATCCAGCGGGGATTCCATCCAGCGGGGATTCCATCCAGCGGGGGATTCCATCCAGCGGGGATTCCATCCAGCGGGGATTCCATCCAGCGGGGATTCCATCCAGCGGGGGATTCCATCCAGCGGGGATTCCATCCAGCGGGGATTCCATCCAGCGGGGATTCCATCCAGCGGGGATTCCATCCAGCGGGGATTCCATCCAGCGGGGATTCCATCCAGCGGGGATTCCATCCAGCGGGGATTCCATCCAGCGGGGATTCCATCCAGCGGGGATTCCATCCAGCGGGGATTCCATCCAGCGGGGATTCCATCCAGCGGGGATTCCATCCAGCGGGGATTCCATCCAGCGGGGATTCCATCCAGCGGGGATTCCATCCAGCGGGGATTCCATCCAGCGGGGATTCCATCCAGCGGGGATTCCATCCAGCGGGGATTCCATCCAGCGGGGATTCCATCCAGCGGGGATTCCATCCAGCGGGGATTCCATCCAGCGGGGATTCCATCCAGCGGGGATTCCATCCAGCGGGGATTCCATCCAGCGGGGATTCCATCCAGCGGGGATTCCATCCAGCGGGGATTCCATCCAGCGGGGATTCCATCCAGCGGGGATTCCATCCAGCGGGGATTCCATCCAGCGGGGATTCCATCCAGCGGGGATTCCATCCAGCGGGGATTCCATCCAGCGGGGATTCCATCCAGCGGGGATTCCATCCAGCGGGGATTCCATCCAGCGGGGATTCCATCCAGCGGGGATTCCATCCAGCGGGGATTCCATCCAGCGGGGATTCCATCCAGCGGGGATTCCATCCAGCGGGGATTCCATCCAGCGGGGATTCCATCCAGCGGGGATTCCATCCAGCGGGGATTCCATCCAGCGGGGATTCCATCCAGCGGGGATTCCATCCAGCGGGGATTCCATCCAGCGGGGATTCCATCCAGCGGGGATTCCATCCAGCGGGGATTCCATCCAGCGGGGATTCCATCCAGCGGGGATTCCATCCAGCGGGGATTCCATCCAGCGGGGATTCCATCCAGCGGGGATTCCATCCAGCGGGGATTCCATCCAGCGGGGATTCCATCCAGCGGGGATTCCATCCAGCGGGGATTCCATCCAGCGGGGATTCCATCCAGCGGGGATTCCATCCAGCGGGGATTCCATCCAGCGGGGATTCCATCCAGCGGGGATTCCATCCAGCGGGGATTCCATCCAGCGGGATTCCATCCAGCGGGGATTCCATCCAGCGGGGATTCCATCCAGCGGGGATTCCATCCAGCGGGGATTCCATCCAGCGGGGATTCCATCCAGCGGGGATTCCATCCAGCGGATAGGGATTCCATCCAGCGGGGATTCCATCCAGCGGGGATTCCATCCAGCGGGGATTCCATCCAGCGGGGATTCCATCCAGCGGGGATTCCATCCAGCGGGGATTCCATCCAGCGGGGATTCCATCCAGCGGGGATTCCATCAGCGGGGATTCCATCCAGCTGGGATTTCCACTCCAGCGGGGATTCCATCCAGCGGGGATTCCATCCAGCGGGGATTCCATCCAGCGGGGATTCCATCCCAGCGGGATTCCATCCAGCGGGATTCCATCCAGCGGGGATCCATCCAGCGGGGATCATCCAGCGGGGATTCCATCCAGCGGGGATTCCCTCCAGCGGGGATTCCATCCAGCGGGGATTCCATCCAGCGGGGATTCCATCCAGCGGGGATTCCATCCAGCGGGGATTCCATCCAGCGGGGATCCATCCAGCTGGGATTCCATCCAGCGGGGATTCCATCCAGCGGGATTCCATCCAGCGGTGGATTCCATCCAGCGGGGATTCCATCCAGCGGGGATTCCATCCAGCGGGGATTCCATCCAGCGGGGATTCCATCCAGCGGGGATTCCATCCAGCGGGGATTTCCATCCAGCGGGGATTCCATCCAGCGGGATTCCATCCAGCGGGGATTCATCCAGCGGGGATTCCATCCAGCGGGATTCCATCCAGCGGGGATTCCATCCAGCGGGGATTCCATCCAGCGGGGATTCCATCCAGCGGGGATTCCATCCAGCGGGGATTCCATCCAGCGGGGATTCCATCCAGCGGGGATTCCATCCAGCGGGGATTCCATCCAGCGGGGATTCCATCCAGCGGGGATTCCATCCAGCGGGGATTCCATCCAGCGGGATTCCATCCAGCGGGGATTCCATCCAGCGGGGATTCCATCCATTCGGGGATTCCATCCAGGGGATTCCATTCCAGCGGGGATTCCATCCAGCGGGGATTCCATCCAGCGGGGATTCCATCCAGCGGGGATTCCATCCAGCGGGGATTCCATCCAGCGGGGATTCCATCCAGCGGGGATTCCATCCAGCGGGGATTCCATCCAGCGGGGATCCATCCAGCGGGGATTCCATCCAGCGGGGATTCCATCCAGCGGGGGATTCCATCCAGCGGGGATTCCATCCAGCGGGGATTCCATCCAGCGGGGATTCCATCCAGCGGGGATTCCATCCAGCGGGGATTCCATCCAGCGGGGATTCCATCCAGCGGGGATTCCATCCAGCGGGGATTCCATCCAGCGGGGATTCCATCCAGCGGGGATTCCATCCAGCGGGGATTCCATCCAGCGGGGATTCCATCCAGCGGGGATTCCATCCAGCGGGGATTCCATCCAGCGGGGATTCCATCCAGCGGGGATTCCATCCAGCGGGGATTCCATCCAGCGGGGATTCCATCCAGCGGGGATTCCATCCAGCGGGGATTCCATCCAGCGGGGATTCCATCCAGCGGGGATTCCATCCAGCGGGGATTCCATCCAGCGGGGATTCCATCCAGCAGGGATTCCATCCAGCGGGGATTCTATCCAGCGGGGATTCCATCCAGCGGGGATTCCATCCAGCAGGGATTCCATCCAGCGGGGATTCCATCCAGCAGGGATTCCATCCAGCAGGGATTCCATCCAGCAGGGATTCCATCCAGCGGGGATTCCATCCAGCAGGGATTCCATCCAGCAGGGATTCCATCCAGCAGGGATTCCATCCAGCAGGGATTCCATCCAGCAGGGATTCCATCCAGCAGGGATTCCATCCAGCAGGGATTCCATCCAGCAGGGATTCCATCCAGCAGGGATTCCATCCAGCAGGGATTCCATCCAGCAGGGATTCCATCCAGCAGGGATTCCATCCAGCAGGGATTCCATCCAGCAGGGATTCCATCCAGCAGGGATTCCATCCAGCAGGGATTCCATCCAGCAGGGATTCCATCCAGCAGGGATTCCATCCTTGCTGCTCCGCTCACTCACAGCAAGGATGCAGGCAGCTCAAGATTCAGCAGAATATGCATCCATCTCCTCCAACCACCCCCGCTAACCGCTCCCATAACACGCTCCCTCCCTTTCCTCCCTCCTCCGACTCACAGCAAGGATGCAAGCAGCTCGGGACTCGGCAGAATACGCATCAATCTCCTCCAACCGCTTATAAAGCTCCGCCAACCTTTTCGCCGCCGCCTCATCCTCCCCTGCACCCGCCTCCGCCCCTCCCCCATCCCGCTTCTTCCCCTCCGCCTCCCCGCCCGCCTCCCCATCCTCCCCGCCAGATTTCCTCGCTAGAAGCTGCTTCTCTTCCTCTAGAAGAGCTGTGCGTTCGAGGTCAGCACTGAGCACGCACTGTAGGACGGAGGTGTCGTCCCCCACCACCTCCTGCTCCACATGCAGCACCTGGCACGAGCGCGGGATGCCGTCTATCGCATGCATCGCCATGTGCTTCAAGAGAGTCGTTTTTCCTGTCCCGTTGCGCCCAATCAGCCCTGCACCCACGGACAGGGGGACACAGATTGCAGGCAGCAGAGAAGTTTTTGATCTGAAGGCCGATGAAGCCTTTCCTCCTGGTGGGTTGGGATGGGAGCAGTGCAGCACGAAGGGAGGTGTCGTCCCCCACCACCTCCTGCTCCACATGTAGCACCTGGCACGAGCGCGGAATGCCATCTATCGCATGCATCGCCATGTGCTTTAACAGGGTCGTCTTTCCTGTCCCGTTGCGCCCGATCAACCCTGCGTGAACAGAAAGGGAGACACAATATCACGGGCGAACGGGCAACAAAACCGGGTTTGAGGCGCATGAAATGAAGCCCATTCTTGCTGCTGAGATGGGAGCAGTGCAGCACAAAGGGAGGTATCGTCCCCCACCACGTCCTGCTCCACATGCAGCACCTGGCACGAGCGCGGAATGCCATCTATCGCATGCATCGCCATGTGCTTTAACAGGGTCGTCTTTCCTGTCCCGTTGCGCCCGATCAACCCTGCGTGAACAGAAAGGGAGACACAATATCACGGGCGAACGGGCAACAAAACCGGGTTTGAGGCGCATGAAATGAAGCCCATTCTTGCTGCTGAGATGGGAGCAGTGCAGCACAAAGGGAGGTATCGTCCCCCACCACGTCCTGCTCCACATGCAGCACCTGGCACGAGCGCGGAATGCCGTCCATCGCATGCACCGCCATGTGCTTTAACAGGGTCGTCTTGGCCATGCCGTTGCGGCCAATGAGCCGTGCATGCATGGACAGGGAGACACGGAATCACAGATCACGGGCAAAGCAAACGACGTGAGCGCCTTGCCCGACACAGTCACTGTGAAGTTGCTCAGGTGGATGTCCCTCGCCCCGCCCCCTGTGTTCCCCACCACCCCCTACCCCTCTACCCCTCTCTCAACCACCTTCTACCGCACTCCAGTGCCCCAAACCCTACCGTATCTCCTGCCGAAAGCCAGAGTGATGGAGGCGTCGCTGATGAGGTCCTTCCCAGCAACAGTGACGGTGAAGTTGCTGAGGTGGATGTCCTTCGCCCCGCCCTCCGTGCCATCGCCCCCGTGCGACACCGTCACCAGCGGCATGGACGATAGGATGGCCTCGCTCTCCTTCACGTGTGCCTCGTATGCATCCTGGGGTGAGCGGTGACGGAAAGGAAGAGGCGGGACGGGGGAGGGGGGTAGGGAAGAGGGCGAGGGGTCACCAGCGGCATGGACGACAGAATCGCCTCGCTCTCCTTCACGTGCGCCTCGTACGCGTCCTGGGGTGAGGAGAGGAGAGGAAGGGAGGGGATAGCAGAAGGCGGGAGAGGGGAAGGGAAGGGAAACAGGGAGGGGGGACACCGTCACCAGCGGCATGGTCGCGAGAATCGCCTCGCTCTCCTTCAAATGCGCCTCGTACGCGTCCTGTGGAGAGAACGTGGAAGAGTGGGCGTGGGCGGAAGTGGTGGGGGGAGGGGAACGGAAGCGGGGAGAGCGAAGGAGATGGGGGAAAGGGAAGGCATCAGCATGGATGGACGTCAGTTAGCGGAACATGCGCCTCGCCTTGCATGCATGCATTCTGCAAAGGCGATGTGCCTGCTGCAAAGGAGAGAAAGGGCATATTGCCAACACCCCTTCCTCCCCTCCCCCCTTCCCCCATCCCCTTTCCCCCCCTCCCCCCTCAGCGAAACCCTGAGACCCACCATGCGCTGGCGCTCGTCCTTGCGCTTGTTGCGCTCGAGCTTCCGTAGGTCACGCTCTGTCACGAAATACATCGACTCCTCCTCCCCCTCCGCCGCCACCGCCTGGATCACCCCCGTCTTCCCCTCCCCCAGCAGCGCCTGCTCCGCCATGCCCTCCCCCATGCGCATCGGCGCCCCCAAGCTCCGCACGTTCTCCGCCGAGGCTGCGGCATGCGCGTCGCCGAACCTGGCGGCTAGGTTTTGAAAGAAGGCGCGCGCGGAGAAAGCGTCCGGGAAGCAGCCGACGTTGAGGAGAAGTGGACCGACGGCGTCGTATGCGAGATCGCCACGTGGACCGAAGTCAAACGTCTCGTCCTGGGAAGTGTACGGGGGGAAAGGGGGGGGAGGTGGGGGCGGGAAGGGGAAGGGGGAAACAGTGAGGAGAGTAGATTCGGGACGTGGTCATTCTTCAGAATTTCAGAAGCGATGGCGTCGTACGCGATTTCGTCCCACGGACCAAAGTCACGTCGCGTCCGGGGAAAAAAGTGGTAAGAAAGAAGGGTGAAACGAGGTAAGAATTTTTTTAGACATCTCAAAACAAGAAGACAAACGTCCCGTCCCGGGGGGAAGGGGGGGAGAGTACACTCGGGACGTGGAGAAAGAACGGAATTGGTCGCTCTTTGGTTCGGAATCAACTTCGCGGACCAAAGGCATATCTTGTCTTGGTGACGGGACGAAAGATACGATTTCAGAGGCCGGAAACACCTGGGAAAGAGGTCGGGAAACATAACCAATACGGTCGCCAGGCCCAGCGAAATCGAAAGCTCCAGTAAACTTGACGGCTGCAGTAAATCCGTCAGGTTCAGTGAAGTCAAACGGTCCAGTACGAAGTCATGAGAGTCAGTGACAATGTCAGATTCGATAACGTTGACAGATTCAGCGAATTCGACCAGTGTCATCACACTGACACCTCACGCTACGCAATCAGCTTGGCATACTAACAGAATAAGGACGCCTTATGACAACGGAGAGCTCTTTCAAGCTGATACTAAACCTAGGCTTTAAGGTCCGGAAAGATACGAATGTAAACCTCTCACCGCTCACCTTTAGGACGTTAACGACATAGTCTATTATAATAGGGTCCACTTCGTTAGCTGTGGGACCAAGTCCCTGATGGATCGCGGTTGCAATTTCGGCCATGGCTGACTCCAAATCAGCAAGGTGTGACTGGACGAGATGGTACTCTCTTGTGAGAAGGAAAATATCAAGGTGTATGCTCGACGATGCCAAGATACTCGATATTGCATGTTCCGCGTCGACTTCTCGTTTGTCAGATTTCTACCTTTGAGCGCACCCACGTAGTTTTAGAGTATGCCCCAAAGATACAAGCACCCATGTACTCTACCGTGTAATTATTTCCGCAAAACAAGACTCTACCGTATTGCCAAAGACAAATGATGGCATGCGCAGGTAGGAGGACAATGCTATCACTTGTACACAATTTCGTAACATCCTTGAAACGTCGTACACTGTATACACCTCCAGTCAGCTTGCTCTAACGGGGTTCAAAACAACTGCAAGCTGCTTCCAACTAACATAACAACCACCCACCAAGCCGCGCACTGCTGTAACTCCCCCTTTCCCACCACTAGCTACATCAAGCCGTCTCACGAGCCTCGTATCACTCGCTGCGCACTTGGCGAGTCAAGGTCGTGCTGATAGAGCAAGCAGCGTCAAGCAGTCTGCACTTCCTCGTCACACACGAGAGGTTGCAGCCGCCTCGGCTGGTCGCTCCGTATAACATGGACATGAGGCAAGCCAAGGTCAAGGCCCGGTTGCACACTACCTTTCCATCATCCGCCACCTCCACACACTTGCGCGTCACGCCGGCATCGTTGACCTCGCGAGGTCATAAGTTATCCCTGCGTCAGAGCTTCGAACAGCTCCAACCGTCCGTACACGAATGCCAGGACAAGGATGCGGCAAGGTCAAGGGTGGAAGGTCAAGGGTGCAAGGTCAAGGATGCAAGGTCATAAGCTCGCTGTATTCTTTCGTCCGAGCTTCGAACAGCTCCAACTGTTCGTACACAAACTAGCGCGACCGATGTTGCGTGATTTCTTGAGCGGGAAACTCGAGGTCGATACCAGAAAAGCTACAAGGTCGATAATCAGTAGCTCAGGGAACCCTAAACAGGCTGTTGACAGATGGCATCCCGCCAAATGGAGACTCGTTCCTTTTTGAGAATTCTTACGAATGAAGATCAGGCGCGTCATGGCGTACGGGGCCGTACGCACTACAGTCCGATTCGTTTATCAATGTGGAACTGCTTCACGCTGATCTTGTTCGTGTCTTTGTTCTCGACGCGTGGCAATGCAAGCAGCACGCCCAGTTTCTCGGTCCTGACCGGTGATTCTACCTTTTCCAATGATCATTCTTTGCGAGAAAGAATCAAGATTGGGTTCCCGACCGGTGATCCTACAGCGCGCCTTGATCAGTTGTCGCGCGAAACTACTACAAAGGATGTCGCGGGCAAGTGGACAAGTGGGTCGCTTGTGGTCAGACCTCCCGGATTTCCCACGTCTGAAGGGCGCAACGGCGGGAGTCGGCGAAAGCTGCTTTCCGCCAGCGACTGGTTACCAGGAGCATCTCGGCGGAAGCAAGGCACTCATTTCGCATCAGCGGGTGATTTGCGAATTGCGATCGACAGCAGGCGTCTTGAAGTGATCGACCTCAACCCCAATCCGCCTCCGAGCGTTCTTTCGCGAAAGGTTCGGCGAAAGCTGAGAGCTGTAACCAGCAGGCGAAAATATGCGACGTGCGCCAAGGCCCTCCGTTGCCCCGAATTTCGGATGTGCGAAGACGCGGGTTTCGAGGATATTTCCGTCTGCCATAACCCGGATTACAAGGATCTAGCCCCGCGAATCGCGGCGAACGGTACAACGGCTAAGCCCCGGGGAAACGACGAATACGGGGGTGTGGAGGAGGAGGAAGAAGACGAAGAGGAGGAGGAAGGGGGAGAAGACGGAGAAGGGAAGGAAGAGGAGGAAGGGGGAGGCGGGCGCGGAGGGGACGGGGGGAAAGGGGGTGGTGCGCCCAGCATGGTGTGGTCGGGGCGGGTGTTTGCGCTGCACGACGTGTATGTGAACAACAAGGGGCAGGTGTTCAACGCTACCCACGTCTTTAACCCCAACGGCTGCTACGCCGAAGACAAGGTGCGTCTGGGTGGGTGGAAAAAGGGGGGTATTGAGGAAAGGGGGATGGGGATGGAAGGCTGGAGGGGGGAGGAGCGGGGCGGGGCGGTTAGTAGGGGAGAAAGGGGAGGGCGGGGCCGCGGGGAATCAGTAGGGAAGGAGAGGGTAGGGATGGGTCAGAGGAGTTTATGAGGGACTCAGGGCGGCTGCGCGAGGAAAGGTGAGAAGAGCGAGGGGTGTGGCAGGGGCTGCATCAAAGATACGTGAGGCCAAGATGCGCCTTCCACACCCGTCGCTGGTAGCCTGCATTTCGGAGGCCAAGTGCTCCTACTAAACTTCCACCCACCTACCTACCCCACCACCCCTCTCTCTCCCCTTTGTGCCCGTCTTTCACGAGCCAAACTCCTGGGTTTCCTTCTTATGCTTTTACACCACTTCCACCCCACTCTCTCTCACTCCCCCCCCCACTCTCACAACCCCCCTCCCCCCTTCTCTCATGTAGTTCCGTTACGAGGCAGGCACGCGCGTCTCCTCCTACAGCTCGCTCGTGATTCATGGACCTGCTGGTCATCTGGGGCACGCCTGGGGTGGGTGTGCGTGCCCCAGGCGTGCCAGAGGAGCGAGTTGTAGGAGGAGACAGGCACGCACGCGCGACTCTTCCTCTCACTCGCTGCTCATCGGGGGCACGCCTGGGGTGTGCGTGCCCTTCCACGACTCCTGTGTGAATCTGCGATGCAATGCGGGTCATTGGAGGCACCACCACCCACCCCATCTTCACTTCACACCACCCCCTCCCGTCTCCCCCCTTCTCCACAGTTCCACTACGAGGCAGGAACTCGTGTTTCTACCCACAACTCGCTCGTCAACCTGCTGGTCATCGGGGGCACGCCGCACCCCATCCCGAACCCTCCCCCTCCACATGCTCTCCACTCCCATCCCCTTCTCCACAGTTCCACTACGAGCCAGGCACGCGTGTTTCTACCCACAACTCGCTGGTCAACCTGCTGGTCGTTGGAGGCACGCCCGGCGCGCGCCTGCCCTTCCACGAGGTTCTCGAGCTCGTGCCGCTCTTCCTGCCGCTCTCCCGCGTGCTCGAGAAGCACGGCAAGCCGGCACTCGTCATGCGCGGCAAGAAGGTAATGTGCTCGCATTCAGTTAAATTGAGGTGCTGAGTTGCGTGTGTGCTGAGTTGCGTGTGTGCTGAGTTGCGTGTGTGCTGAGTTGCGTGTGTGCTGAGTTGCGTGTGTGCTGAGTTGCGTGTGTGCTGAGTTGCGTGTGTGCTGAGTTGCGTGTGTGCTGAGTTGCGTGTGTGCTGAGTTGCGTGTGTGCTGAGTTGCGTGTGTGCTGAGTTGCGTGTGTGCTGAGTTGCGTGTGTGCTGAGTTGCGTGTGTGCTGAGTTGCGTGTGTGCTGAGTTGCGTGTGTGCTGAGTTGCGTGTGTGCTGAGTTGCGTGTGTGCTGAGTTGCGTGTGTGCTGAGTTGCGTGTGTGCTGAGTTGCGTGTGTGCTGAGTTGCGTGTGTGCTGAGTTGCGTGTGTGCTGAGTTGCGTGTGTGCTGAGTTGCGTGTGTGCTGAGTTGCGTGTGTGCTGAGTTGCGTGTGTGCTGAGTTGCGTGTGTGCTGAGTTGCGTGTGTGCTGAGTTGCGTGTGTGCTGAGTTGCGTGTGTGCTGAGTTGCGTGTGTGCTGAGTTGCGTGTGTGCTGAGTTGTGTGTGTGCTGATTTGTGTGTGTGCTCTTCACTACGACTCCTCCTCCCACTCTCCCACCCACATGCTCAAGAAGCACGGCAAGCTGGCCCTCGTCCTGTGCGGCAGGAAGGTAGCGTGCAGACGTGCATGGGAAATGGTGTGCTCATGCCCAAGCTATCAAACCCATGCCTGAGCTATCAAACCCATGCCTGAGCTATCAAACCCATGCCTGAGCTATCAAACCCATGCCTGAGCTATAAAACCCATGCCTGAGCTATCAAACCCATGCCTGAGCTATCAAACCCGTGCCTGAGCTATCAAACCCATGCCTGAGCTATCAAACCCATGCCTGAGCTATCAAACCCATGCCTGAGCTATCAAACCCATGCCCAAGCTATCAAACCCATGCCCAAGCTATCAAACCCATGCCTGAGCTATCAAACCCATGCCTGAGCTATCAAACCCATGCCTGAGCTATAAAACCCATGCCTGAGCTATCAAACCCATGCCTGAGCTATCAAACCCGTGCCTGAGCTATCAAACCCATGCCTGAGCTATCAAACCCATGCCTGAGCTATCAAACCCATGCCTGAGCTATAAAACCCATGCCTGAGCTTTCAAACCCGTGCCTGAGCTTTCAAACCCGTGCCTGAGCTTTCAAACCCATGCCTGAGCTTTCAAACCCATGCCTGAGCTTTCAAACCCATGCCTCAGCTTTCAAACCCATGCCTCAGCTTTCAAAACCATGCCTCAGCTTTCAAACCCATGCCTGAGCTTTCAAACCCATGCCTGAGCTATCAAACCCATGCCTGAGCTATCAAACCCATGCCTGAGCTATAAAACCCATGCCTGAGCTTTCAAACCCGTGCCTGCGCTTTCAAACCCGTGCCTGAGCTTTCAAACCCATGCCTGAGCTTTCAAACCCATGCCTGAGCTTTCAAACTCATGCCTGAGCTTTCGGTCCCATGTTTGTGCAAGCAACCCCCAGTGTTCCCATTGAGTCTCTCATGCGTGCTACTCATGCCATGCCCTCTGAATGGCGTGTATTGTATAACATGAACTGATTGTCGTACCATCATATGCATGGGCTGTGATGGCACGGCATGGCACGTGTTTGTATGTCATGTCTGCAACATTGCTGATATGCCATTTTCCATGTGGGATGTGGCATCTCGTGCGGCATGTGACATGGCATGTGTGACGTGGCATGTGCTGTCCCTCGCAGCTTCCTCGAGTGGTGGGCATCACCATGAATCGCATGCTCTCCTTCGGGGATGCCTCTCGCCTCCTCTTCGTGCGAACGCTAATCCAGGTCCGTCCAAACACTCACCCAGGTGTGTCCGTCCGTCCACACACTACACTTCCAAGCACATGCCCGCACGCCCCACTCACCCATCCAAACGTCTCTTCCCCCATCCCGCGCCCCTCCTCCCCTCCTCTTTCTCCCTCCCCCCTTGCCACCTCATTTCCCAACAGTACCTTCAGCCATGAGACTAGGCGAGCTGCAGCTTAGGAGAATTCTTTAGCAGAAGAAAAACAGTAGAGTTTAAAACTCTTGTGTTGCCAGTTCAAAAAACAAGATCGAAACTGAGCTCTAAGTCCACTACAACGATTAAAACGCAAACATGTTTCGGACGACTGGGACAGACCCCCGTCAATCCTTCATCAGTGCTAGCGGAATAAGAAACTAGAGCAGAAAGAGCAACCCTTAAGCAAGAACTACCCATCAAGAAACAATCGAGGTTGGGTACAACCGTGGCTGAAATCTGGGCAGCCAATCCACAACACCCTGGAAAAAACCGAGGGGCTGAGGTCTTCACTCCTCGAGGCGTAACGTTGTTGAATCACAACTCGCCAGCTGGTGTTTCGGAAGCCTCGCACGAACAAGTAACTTTTGCAAGTTACAACCTGTTTTCCAAGCAACAAACAATTTCTCCATATAAAATCCGCGGGAGAGTAAGCGTGTTTTGAGACGTCTCAAAACTACCCCTAGCCCGAGTCGAGCCGACACAGGTGTGTAGGTCGTCTTCAAGACTAGGGGCCCGCGTGTAGGAGGAGATGATCGTCGTTGTAACTGGTTAGCGAGGGTGCTGGTGAGAAGAGTCGCACGTTGTGCGAAATGGACGCCGTTGAAGATCGGTCGTAGGAAGACTGGCGGGTAACCGCGGGCACGAAGTCGCTGGAAGAAAGCGACCTTCGTCGTTCGGAAGGCCGTCGCCGAGGTCGAGCGTAGCAAGTAGCGCTGCAGTTCGGCGCGGATGAACCCCTCTTTACAGTGCCGCGGGTGGAAGGAGGAGAAGGGGAGATATAGGTACCTATTCATCGGTTTCTGGTAAGTACCGAGGTCTAGGAAACCACGTTCGTGGAAACGAGGCCCTTTGTGAAGAACCACATCCAGAAAATCCACGGAACATTCCGAGATGTTCCACGTGATCCGAATGTTCGGATCCAAGCCGTTGAAGGTGCGCAGGTACTCCTCCAAATCAGACTGCGCGCCTGGCCAAATGATAAGGCCATCGTCAATATATCGGACGTGGTAACAAGGTGACACCCCGGTCCATCTTTCCTTCAGCAGCTCATCGAGACGACTCATGAACAGGATGGCGAAGCAAACGGCGACAGGAGTTCCCATCGCGGTCCCCTGCACTTGGTGGTACATCCGGTCGTCAAATTCCACAAAGGAATTTCTCATAACCCAACCCAGAAGGGCCATGAGCGGTTGAGCGAGCTGCGGGTTTTCTCTCGTCAAGAAACTGCTAACTGCTTCGAGTCCTCGGTCGATGGATATGCTGGGGTAGAGCGAGGTAACATCGTAGGTAGCTAGGAGGATATGAGGCGGGAAGGCTGTTGTCTCCAGCTTCGCTAGCAGTGCGAGAGAGTCGCGCAGGTAGGTAGCTCGTTTTAAAACTAGCGGTCTGAGTTGCGCATCCAGCCATCGACTCGCATTAGTCGTCACCCATGAATGAGAAGCTGCAATCGGACGTCCCACGGGTAACTTCTTATGGAGTTTAGGCAGGATGTAGAACGCCGCTGGGTGCCACCCTCCTGGCGGTTTGTCAAACATAAATTTCCAAATACTGTCTGGGAAAGCAGGCCCCCATGTCGCCTTCAGCTCACTCAGCTGCTGCAGAACTCGAGGAGTCGGGTTGTGACGAACCGGTCTGTAGACATCCGCGTCGTTCAGGTGTTCCATGCACATCGCGACGTAGTGTGCTCGATCCATCACGGTAACTCCTATATTCTTGTCAGCTGGCTTGATGACGATGCTGCTGTCGAGCGATAGGGAACGTATAGCCGCACGTACACTCCGTGAAAGGTTCTGTCCACGCAGCGGCTTACACGTCTTCAGCAGGAAAGAAAGGTCGGCTCGCGCCTCCTTGAAGACTAGCTCCGGGACCTCGTCCCGATCGGGCCACCAATTAGGATTCTTCACCCGGAAACGTGATGAAGCTGATGGTCCTTTCCCCTTGAAGAAAAAGTCGAGGGAGATCTGTCGATGCAGCTGATGCAAATCTGCTTCGATGGAAAAGTTCCAGGCTGGCGTTGGTATGAACTTCAGTCCCATCCCGAGCGCTTTGGTCTCGTCGCGAGACAAAACCTTAGCGCTCAGGTTGTGTACTCCCCGGTTCAGAATGCGTGACTGCGCCTGTCGTAGAGTCAGCTTCCCGAACCAGCGGAGCGCGAGGTCCCGAGGTGTTAGTTCTTGCGCGGCCCTTTTCCTGGGCCGCCGCCGCCGTTTTTTGGAACCTGGGCCGTAGTTGAGGAAGTTTGTTGGCCCTTCCCTCCGTCGCCGCCTGAAGACTTCGCTTTCTTCTTTCCTTTCCCGCGACGCCGCGTAGCCTTCGGTACATCTGCCTTGGAGCCAGTGTTCGTCTGGCTCTTTGACGGGTCCGCCTTGGGCTTCGCTGCTGCGGGGGCCGACTTGGAATCCTGCGATCCCATCGACAAGCTCTTCTTAAACTTGGCAGTAAGCTTCGCTTCGACGCTCGCCGTAATCTCCTTGCGCATCGTCTCCGCGTACTTCTGAGTAGCTTTTCGAACAAGCTCGTTGATCGTCGGATCCGTTTCCAGGTGCTCCATCTCTTCGGCAGCGGCTGCTTTCTTCAAATCTTCAGCGTCCCTGATCCTCTGTCTCTCCAGCTCCTTGATGATGATATCATCTTTGGCTGCAGCAATCTCCGACTTGGCTTTCTCGATGCAGATCCCTTTGATTTTCCGGAATTTTTCTCTAGCCGCATGAGATACGGTTAGATCCGGATCCGCAGTCAAGCTTTTGATGTAGTCTTCGAGCTTAGTAGCCAGAGTGGTGAGATGTGAGGAGGACGCCGCCAGGATTTCCTCAACCTCCAACTCCTTAGACTTGATGAAATCCTCCTGAATGCGCTTCTGGTTCTCGAGATGAACCGAGGCGACGGACGCGGCAGATTTCTCCCGAGTAACCGGGTACTTCGTCTGGAACTCCACGACCTTGGTGCGGATGCTGTGTAAGATCACACCTTGGCCGTTTAGCGTCTTCATCTTCTTCAGTTTGGACTTCGCCTTGAGGAGTGCCTTAAAATCCTCTCTGAAGCCCTTGACAGCAGCCGTCGTCCAGCCTTTTAAAAGCTCCGGAATCGTGACGGACGTGTTAGTGGCAGCTGACGGGTTGACGGGAGCCATGTTGACATCCTCGTCGTTCAGAGAATCCATGTCGGCAGCGTCGGGAGAATTTCCTGTCTGCTTGTTATGCTCGTTGTCCTCGTGAATTGGTGCAGATGCGCCAGCGATTCCGTCAGCGTTGCGAGAACGTTTGTAACCCGCGTAAGTTTTCGGGAATGGGCCTGCTTCACGGGGAACTAGTGCGAAACTCGAATTTCCTAAGCCGGCGTCACCCGTAGAATTTGGGAGACCCCAAGTACCTTCAGCCATGAGACTAGGCGAGCTGCAGCTTAGGAGAATTCTTTAGCAGAAGAAAAACAGTAGAGTTTAAAACTCTTGTGTTGCCAGTTCAAAAAACAAGATCGAAACTGAGCTCTAAGTCCACTACAACGATTAAAACGCAAACATGTTTCGGACGACTGGGACAGACCCCCGTCAATCCTTCATCAGTGCTAGCGGAATAAGAAACTAGAGCAGAAAGAGCAACCCTTAAGCAAGAACTACCCATCAAGAAACAATCGAGGTTGGGTACAACCGTGGCTGAAATCTGGGCAGCCAATCCACAACACCCTGGAAAAAACCGAGGGGCTGAGGTCTTCACTCCTCGAGGCGTAACGTTGTTGAATCACAACTCGCCAGCTGGTGTTTCGGAAGCCTCGCACGAACAAGTAACTTTTGCAAGTTACAACCTGTTTTCCAAGCAACAAACAATTTCTCCATATAAAATCTGCGGGAGAGTAAGCGTGTTTTGAGACGTCTCAAAACACCCTCCCCCCTTGCCACCTCATTTCCCAACACTGCCCAGCTGCACCATGAATACAATCCTCTTCGTTCTCCCACACGCCCTTCCCCCACTTTCTAGCCCACCTTGCAGCACTGCCAGTACCAGCACCCCAGCCTCTCCCTGTCGTCCAAACTCTCACTTTTGAGCTGCCAAAAACAAACGTGCCCTCGGAAAATGTCACGTCCCCCATCTCACACCCCTCCCTCCCTCTTTGCCCCTCCACCTGCAGCCCACGTTTCAGCACTGCCAGCACCCCAGCCCTTCCCTGTGGACCAAGCTCCGCTCCTCCCACTTCCTGAAACCCCACACCCCTTCCTCTTTCCCCTACCCCTTCCCCCCCTTCTGCAGCCCACGTTTCAGCACTGCCAGCACCCCAGCCCTTCCCTGTGGACCAAGCTCCGCTCCTCCCACTTCCTGAAACCCCACACCCCTTCCTCTTTCCCCTACCCCTTCCCCCCCTTCTGCAGCCCACGTTTCAGCACTGCCAGCACCCCAGCCCTTCCCTGTGGACCAAGCTCCGCTCCTCCCACTTCCTGCAACCCCACCGTCTGCCCCTCCTCAATCCTGATTGGTCCGAGCGCCTTCCCTCCACCTCCCGCAAGACCCTCTCTCCCCCTGCCGCCCTCCCCCCCTGGGAGGCAAGTGGGGTGAAAGAGGTGATAGTTCTGGAGCCACCAGCAACAGTCCAGGTGAAGGGATTTGCAGACATTGTAGCAGGGCTGAGGGGGAAGTTTGGCGCCGAGCAAGTGAGGCTACTGGGGAGGTTTCAAAGAGATGACGCCAAAGAGTTGTTTCCCCGGGCGGCGCTGCTCGTCAGCGTCACGAGCCCGTTTCTCGTCAACCTTGCGTTCCTGCCGCCCCGCGCCGCCCTGCTGGAGCTCCGCCCGCCGCCCGCTGAGGTGGACGCGGTGATTGCTGACTCAGTCGCCAGGCTGGCAACGGCTTGCCAGATCCATCACCGCGTGATTCGAGGAAGCTTCGTGGAAGGAGCAGCAGCTGATGGTGCGGGGAAAGGTAAAGGGGGCGAGGAGGGTACGGGGAAGGGTGCGGTGGAGTGGAGGAGCGGGGCTTTAGAGGCAGCAGCGATGTTTCTGGCTTGAGTGGTGGGGAAAGCATTAACAGCTGATGAGAAAGTAGTGGAGGAGGCAGCTCTGACAGCTGCCGACCAGCGAATGAGAGCCGCACAGCTGGCGCAGGCCTCCACCAGTAAGAAGCCACTGATTCCCGGCACGCAGATCCAATCTCTGCAGTCCGCCGCCCAGTTTTGGCGATGGCTGCGGTGCGTGAGTCAGCGGGGGCGGTGGGTGTACAACGCCACGCCGCGTATCCTCCCTTGGGAGTACCTCGGTACAATGAACCTGTGTGATCACCGGCACAAGGAGACCACCGGGGGACTCGTGACGAAAAAAGCCGACAAGTACGCAGTGGAGGGCGGCGCGCCGGGCGGCTGGAGCGTGCGCGAGTCGCTCAAATACGAGTGGAGAACGCCGCCCGGGAAGTGCCCGATCGGGCCGCTGAGGCAGCTCGACGGGGAAATGTTTTGCCGGAAAGTGGAGGGGAGGAAAGGCGGGCTGAATGTGCTGTTTCTGGGGGATTCCCTGGCCCATCAGATGGTTGTTAGCTTCCTGAACGGCCTTCTGAGACACATTCCCAAGCCTGCGGTGTGGGCTGTGAATGAAACGATTCCCCAGGAGTGCTCTGATTGGCTGGTGGATCCCCCCAGGCATGCCTACTGCCGAGTGTACACTTTCAATGAGAGCTTTTGTCCTGGGCTTACGGTGCAATTCGTGAGGAATGACCACCTGTGGTTTACTTCGCCTGGAGAAGCTAAGTTTGACCACATTCCATGGCATCTGTATTCAGGGTTGAAGGATGCTGACGTGGTGGTGGTGAATCGAGGCGCGCATTTCATCGGAGGGAAGGATTTTGAGAGGAGTGTGCCGGCCGCTTTAGAATTTCTTCGAGAGAAGCTGCCCGACGCGCTGATTGTGTGGAGAAATACCCCGCCTGGGCATGCCAACTGCACGTCCTACATCGGGCCGATCAAGAAGCGGCAGAATCCGGAAATTCTGCCGTTCCATTGGGACATGTTTACCCATCAGAACGAAATGGTTCGGACAATGATTCATGAAGTGGGAGGTGTGTACATGGATGTGGATACTGCCACAGCATTGAGACCGGATTCGCACAAAGGCTTGGTGGAAGGAAGGGGGATTCTAGACTGTCTCCATTATTGCACGCCTGGTCCGACGGATATGTGGGTGGAGCTCCTAGGAGATATAATATTGTGGGGAGTGTATGGGGATGGACTTGTTCCTGTAAGCGTGATGTAAAGAACAGATGTTTCTGTTGTTTAGAACGGGTGCGCAGTAACCAGCACTGCTGACGTCGCCTTCTTTCTTGATGTCGCGGCAGCTTCGGGTGTGCTGCACAGCAGACGTACTGTGCATCGCTACAGTGGCTGTCGGTGCGCTTCAGTCCACGCTCGTCCACCAGCTTCATGAACCCAACTCCAATCACACTGTACGGGCAGCTTCTACTGACCGACCTTCTCCAACAACAGCCAGCCGCGGCTTCCCTACTTCCCCAGAAAGGCCATTTCGGGCAGCACAGCAGCACTCAGCCACGGCAACCAACCAAGGCTCCCCCACCACAAACCCGTGCAAGGGATGAATCGACGATCAGGATTCCCTCGATGTGTGACCTGAGCTGAAACCGTATCCCAGCCGTGTCTGTGTGTCACGCCTCGAATAATTTCAGGCAGCCCTTCCTCTCCAGTGGCTGGCAAGCAGACAGGCAGTGATGCAGCCCCTTTCTGGCGGGTTGTGGCCGGGGTCGGTGGTTATTGGTTGCTGCTCAAGGTGGAGCTGAGGGAATTGTGAGCGTGGGTGGTTGGTTTGGTGCAATTATTCCAATCGACGGTTGAGAGATGCTCTGGGAACAGCATAGAAGTCCGAATTTCGAATCGTATGGTAGATAGTCCGTGATGGTATTTCTTCCACTGTTCGCGCTAACTACCTCCTCCAGAACTACCTCCGAAATGCAAACCCTGCGTTTCACCCATCATTCCCGCTCGCACGCCCTTTTAGCTCTATTTTCTGCATTTTCGCTTGAGCTGTAGCTCTAGCTCTCTGTCTTTGTCTGTCGCACATGTTTGTCGGTTGGTTGGTTCGAGCCGTCGGCAGCATCGCATATCAAGTTGCCTAGTGGCTGTTGAACTGTCTGATTTTTCGAGTTGAAATAGTAGCAAATCGTCGATTATCGTCCGAGAATTCCGTCGATCATCGAAATAGTAGCAAACCGAGTCCGAGTCGGGCTCGCAGGACGACGTTCTACCTTAGTAATTCGAATTAAGGAGCCTTCGTTGCGGAAACAATTTGTTAGCTTTCGCGAATATCTTCGTTTTTATCGCACTAATACCGTCGTTCCCGACACATTTTCGGGAGACCAACGTCGGAAAGTTCTTGCGGTCTTGCGCAAACGTTTTCGAGAGAGATTCGGGTTAATCGTATTTCGAAGTAGCTTATGATCAGCTTCTATGGAGGACGAGGTGAAGCTTAGCAGCGCATTCCACGGCGGATCAGACATGGATTTCGACGTCATGCCTTCGAGAAACCCTGACGGGGACTTATGGGGGATTGGCGACTTTCAGATAGGTAGCGTCGGTGACGGAGTGGTTTCATCCATCGAAGGAGCGTACGATGCGCTTATACGGGACTTCACAATGCCTAGTAGTGGTTGTAACGCTCCCTATGTCGGCGCTGTTGCAATTGCTGGGACGTCAGCGTTTGGTTCTACTACCGGCACCGTCACGGTCAGTAATAATAACGTTAGCGGTAACGTCGTGCCGTCAGATGCACGCGATGCATGGAGGAATGAGCAGGCTGTGGTGGCAAATGAAGAGGCGAGGCATGATGCCATCATGGGCTCTGGGTCAATGGGAGGACCACAGAGGTTGCACTTTCAACAGCAGCCGCAGCAGCAGCAGCAAGGGGTGAAGCAGCAGCAGAGGGAGTGGGAGAAGGATCAGCAGGGGGGGCAGTGGGGAGGGTATCGCCCTGAAATGGGTCATGTGCCTGACCCTGGCTGCGTCGCTTCCAACCTTCACAATCCCTCAAACCCCCCACATCATGTGGACTTTCGGGAACCGCATCAGACTCAGCAGCAGCAGCAGCAGCAGCAGCAGCAGCATCACGCTCATCAGCACGAGGTGTTGGAAGAGCAGGGTGTGGGGGGGGAGGGTATAATGCAAGCGGCTGTGGGCAACAAGCGGCAGAGGGAGGGGGAGCAGCAACAGACGCCATGTGCTGTGACTGGGTGGCAGCAGCAGCCGGTGCAGGAGCGCGTGGGATTGTCGGTACAGGCGACAAGGGGAACGGCATCACCAGGGGCTTTTATGAGCCGAAGCTTCAGCGAAGGTGGGGTGAAGAGACCTGAGAAACAGCAGCAGCACCAACTGCAGCAACAGCACCCCCACCCCCACCACCACCAAGCGCAGCAGCAGCAGCAGGACCCCTTGTTGCGTCACCGCCGGCAGCAGTCCTTTCCGCTGCCGTCCAGTGGGAGCGCGAGCGCCACGTCATCATGGACGTCATCAGGGGCTGTGAGCGAAGGGCGGCGCGTGGGGCAGAGGAAGGGGCGGCCGGGAGTCATGGGCATGGGCGGTCTCGGGGGCATGTCACATCAGGGCATGTCGCATGAAGGCATGTCACATCAGGGCATGTCACATCAGGGCATGTCGCATGAAGGCATGTCACATCAGGGAATGTCATATCAGGGCATGTCACATGAAGGCATGTCACATCAGGGCATGTCACATCAGGTCATGTCACATGGAGTCATGTCACATCCAGCCGTGGATGTTTCCGCTGTGCCGCATCAGCATCAGCATCAGCATCAACAGCAACAACAGCCGCACCAGCAAACTCAAATGCACCACCAGCAGCAGCAGCAGCAGCAGCAGGAGCACCAACAGCAACAACAACCGCACCAGCCTCAGCAGATTCGAATGCAGCAGCAGCAGCAGCACCCTCGCGCATTCTTATCCCCCCCTTCCCCTTCCATCGCCCACTCCCACTCTCACTCCTCCCAAGCCGCACTGCCACTCCGTCTCCCCCACCTCCCCTCCCCATCACCCTTCATGCCCCAACCTCCCCCCACCACCTCCTCTCTTCCTCCCCCGCCTGGTAACCATCACTCTCAACAATCACCCCTCGTTACCAGCACCTTTAATACAGTCACAACCAATCCAGACCCTACCCCTGCCCCGTCCGCTGCCCCCTCTTCCTACCCTTCCGCCACTCCTATGACTGCTCCTTCCGCTGCTCACCTTTCCCCTTCGGAACTTCCCCCCGCCGCTCCCCCCATCATCCCCATTTCAGAAACTCCCCCTGCCGCTCCCCCCATCCCCCCCCCCACTTCACGAACTTCCCCCACCGCTCCCCCCATCTCCCCCTCCGCGCTCCTAAGCGCGCTCTCCTCCCTCCAATCCAAAATATCCGCGTTACAAGTGCTGGTTCCGCTAGTGGCGCAATCCGCGCCGTCAGAGGCGCTGCAGCAGCAACAGGAGGTGGCAGCAGTGGGGGTAGCGACGGTGATACAGCAGGTGGCGGCGGCAGCGGTGGGGCTGCTGCCGCCTCACCTGCAGCAGCAGCTAGTGGTGCCGGATATAGCTGGAGTGGTTTACCGGGGGAAGGGGGGTGTAGAGGCGCCTGAGAATGCACAGCAGCAACAGCAGCAGCAACAGCAGCAGCAACAACAGCAGCAACAGCAACAGCAACAACAGCAGCAACAGCAACAACAGCAGCAACAGCAACAGCAACAGTATCAGCAGCAGCAGCAGCAGCAGCAGCAGCAGCAGCAGCAGCAGCAGCAGCAGCAGCAGCAGCAGCAACAAGAACAGCAACAGCAACAACAGTATCATCATCAGCATCATAATCCGTATCAGCAGCAGAAGCAACAGAATCAGTATAATCAGCAACAAGAGCAACACCAACAGCAGCAGCAACAGCAGCAGGAGGAGGGGGGCTTTCCAGACGACACCAACCAGCAGCAGCAGCAGCAGCAAGAAGATCTGGTGCCTCAGATTGAGTTGCTGCGAAGGTTCTTAAAAGCTCGCAGCCAGCAGCTGCAAGCAGCCCAGGTCAACGAGGTACAGAGTGAGACGAACATGGCAGGCAAGGGATGCTCGGGAGAGATGGAGAGGGCAGGCTCGGGTGCTCTGCCTGTTCTTGAGCCGACCCCAAACGTGCAGAGGGCAAGTCTTAGGGGGGATTGCAGTGGGGAAAGGGAAGGCCAGGTGAACTGCAGCACGCTGCATGATGAAGGATTGCGGTGGGATGCGGTGCTGGCAGGTGCGGATGGGACTTTGGAGGAAAGGAGAAGGGAGGGGGAAGGCGCGCATGGGAGCGGGGGTGAGGTGATGGTATGGGGTGGTGATGTCGTGCACGGTGCAGTGAAGGAGGAAGTGCAGGCCATGGATGACGTCAGCATGGGTGGTGGTGACGACATCGAGGGGACGCCCATGCCTTTGCATGGAACCTATTATGGAGCACCTGACGTGACACCTGATGGAGCACCTGATGGTGCTGCATATGATGGTGGTGCAATGGCATGTCAGGCAGTTGTTGTTCCCACGGCTTCGCATGGTAACCGCATGGTATCAAGTGGTAACACCAGATCATCGCATGATGACGCCATGGTATTGTATGAGAATGCCATGGCATCTCAGGGGAGTGGCATGCCGCCCAGTGTCAGCATGGGCGGCGCAAGCAGCAGTCAGGGCGGCAGCAGTGGTGTGGGCGGCAGCGTTCTGGGCGGCAGCGGAATGTGCGACAGCGTTTTGGGCGGCGGCAGTGTTTTGGGTGGCAGCGGTGGCATGTGTATGAGGAGAGGCAGGATACGGGGGGGTAGAGGAGGGAGTGGGGGAGGGGGGAGGAAGGGGGGCGGCGGAGGAGGGAGAGGAGGAGGGAGGGGGGGGACAAGAGGGGGAAGAATATTACCTGAAGCAAGTAGGGAAGAGGAAGAGAGTGAGGGGCAAGTGGTAAGACGATCAAAACTTGGAAATTCAGTGAAGGCTGAGAGTCAACTGGGTGGTGGGCGTGGGGAGGATGAAGAAGAGGAGGATGAGGATGAGGAGGAAGAGGGGGGGAGGAGCAGTGAAGGGGTGACACGTGGCGAGTTTGAATTGGTGGAGCTGCAGGTGGACGAGCTTCTGGCAGAACACACTCTGTTCTGTGAGGTGCGTTGCTTTTCTCTTCCCTCATTGTAGTAAGAGGATTTGATAGTAATAAGGGCTGCAGTGTGCGTGATAGAGGATCTCAGAAACGCTTTGCCAGTGCTGCAGGTGGACTCTCTTCTCTGAGGTGCTCTCGTATTTCATCAACGGGGTTTGTTGGAGTTTGTTTTAGTCGGGTTTGTTCGAATTTGTTGTTCTGATGAGGTGTGTTTAGTTGTCTTGAAAGCACTTACCTACTGAGTTTATGGGGATAATGCCTCTGTAGCCCATTGATGCCTCTGTAGCCCATTGATACCTACTGAGTTGATGGGGATAATGCCTCTGTAGCCCGAGCATGCTGTTGCGCCCATCTCCCCCATCCCTCACCTCCCACCTCAAACCTCCCACCTCCCATCTCCCATCTCTCATTTCGCGCAGCCCCCACCAGGTGTGTGGGAAGGGCTTTAAGCGCGACGCCAACCTCCGCATGCACGCACATGCGCGGCCACGGGGACGCCTACAAGGGTACCACCTCCCTCTCCCAATTCCCATCTCTCGTCTCCCATCTCCCATCTCCCATCTCTCATTTCCTGTCTCTCCTCCTCCGACCAGGTGTGTGGGAAGGGCTTTAAGCGGGACGCCAACCTCCGCATGCATATGCGCGGCCACGGGGACGCCTACAAGGGTGCCACCTCCCTCTCCCGCCCCGCGCTCTCCGCCGCCCGCTCCGCCGACCACCCCGCCGCCCGGCCACAGCGTTACAGCTGCCCGGAACCCGGGTGCAAGCGCAACCAGCAGCACCCGGATTTCCAGCCTCTCAAGACAATCCTATGTGTGAAGAATCACTACAGGAGGACGCACTGTGCGAAGCAGTACACGTGCAGCCGGTGCGGTGTGAAGCAGTTTGCCGTGTTGGCTGATCTGCGCACTCATGAGAAGCACTGCGGCCGGTCCTCCTGGAAATGCTCCTGCGGGTCGTCCTTCAGGTGGGTTCAGGTGGAGTCAGGTGGGCTCGGGTGGGTTCATGTTGTTTCAGGTCGTTTCAGGTGGGTTCGAGTGAGCTCATGTGGGTTCATGTTGGTTCAGCTGAATTCAGTGCATGGTTTAGCACCTCAAGCAAAAGCAGAGACTGTTGTATGAGGCGGCCCAAGAATTTCTAGGCGATTTTTATGAGAATGGTAGTCACCCCCATCCCATCATACCCAGCCATTACCCTCCCTGCTCCCCTACACCCCCTCCACTCCTTCCCCCTCCCCTCTCCTCCTACTATCCACCGCTGCAATGCGAAGCTCCTGAGCCACCTGTCTCACTTCCCCACCAACCAGCATCTCAATCCGCCCGCCCTTGCACTTGCCTCCCCCCTATCCACCGCTACTGGGCCACCTCTCTCTCTTCACCGCCCACCACGCCGTCGCTGCCGGCCCATCAGACCTGGAATCAACTCAAACCCCAAGCCCTTCCCCTTCTTCCCTGTCGCCCTCTCCTGCACTGCACCTCCCCCCCTCTCCCCCTGCCTGCACTCGCAAGGACAAGTTGCTGGGCCACCTGTCTCACTTCACCGGCCATCACGCCATTGCTGCCGCTCCTTCACCTCTTGAATCAGCTCAAAACCCTCTACTTGTCAATCCCCCTCCCCCACCCCTTCCCGCCCCTTCTCCCTCCCTGTCTGCAGCCGCAAGGACAAGCTACCAGGCCACCTCTCTCACTTCGCCAGCCATCACGTCGTCGCTGCCGGCCCAATCAACTCTTAGAATCAACTCAAGGTCCCTTACCCCAACCATCCTCCCTCTGCCCTTCCCCAACCCCCCCCAACCCAATCCACAGCTGCAAGGACAAGTTGCTGGGCCACCTCTCTCACTTCACCGGCCATCACGCAGTTGCTGCCACTCTTTGACCTCTTAAGTCAGTTCAAAACCTTAACCTATCGACCCCCCTTCCCTTCCCCTCTCCTCTCCCCTTCTTTTTCACAGTCGCAAGGACAAGCTACTGGGTCACCTCTCTCACTTCACCGGACACCATGCCGTTGCTGCCGGCCCCTCTGACCTCCCACTGCCCACCCTCCCTTCCCCCGCTGCCTCCACGCCTGCTGCTTCTGTCGACGCTGCCGTCGCCGCTGCTTCTGCCGCTGTTTCCGGTGCTGCTGCTGGTGATACTGCCGGCAGCGGTGGTGGTGGTGGCAGTAGCAGTGCTGCCTTCGGTGGTTACCATGAGCGGAACAGTGGGGTTGCCATGCGATTGGCTGGAGGTGGGGGAAGGATACATGTTGACACCAGCAGGCGCAGCAGTGTGATAGCAGGAACAAACATGGCTGCCGGTGGTTCTCCTGCTGCTCTCTCTACAGTCACTGCTCCCTCTGCAATCACATCTGACAGTCACTGCCCATGACAGCTGGTTTTGCCCCTCTAACATGTTCCTCTTCATTCTCCAATGTACCCTGCTCTGGTACACTCTGGAGTAAACTGACGCACCGCATGGTGTAGCGAGGCGCAAATGGACTGGTATTCTGAGGCATAGGCCGAAGGTTATCGGTATGCGTGCAATAAATGTATCCAAACGGAATCACGTCCGTTGTATTTGTATGGGCATATTTTTATCTTGGTAATAATAGCATCATGTTTGCGAACCACGAGGCATTGGTACACTCATCCTTATACATACGCACATTGCAAGGTGCTGCAGAAGGCCTGATTGATTATTATTGCAGTATCTGTTAAAGTATTTATGAGTAAAACGCCATATCGAATAAGACGACGCTTATGAATTTCGGACCACCTGTTAAGGTGTACTGCAGCCTGAAATGTAGCAGTTGTAGATGGAAGGCGGGTGCACCTTCTCCAGAATGACATTCAGGTGGATTCCACAGGGAGGATAACTCAGGTGAGAGATACCACATTCGTCCATTTGGTCAAATACTCGAACAGAACCACGTCATTCCACCAATCCGGACTAGGACCACCAGCTTGCCACGCTAGCGATAGGTTACCAGCACGACTAACGATGGATTTATCCGTCATTTTTAACTTCGGTTACGGTCGTCGAACTAGCTGATATTTTCTCACAGTCCAGACCATGACCCTCATCTAGTGTTCGTCAGGTACGTTCTCTTCAAAAGGACTGAAGAACACCTGAGCCCACCTGTAACAGCAGCGACGCGTCACTTCTATGCTCCCATTTTGTCGTTTCTATGTCCACGACTTTTCTGCAACTCACCCTCTGCGACACATGCTGCTCACAGCGGCGTCGTTTTACCAACTAGCCACAGGCGCGCCAAGCAGGGAAGGGTCTCAAATTCAGGCCGCCCTGTGAATGCGAAGCCCTGCGACAAGGAACGTCGCAGGTTCACACCAACCATCTCCTTCCTTCTCCATGACCTCATTTCCCGTCTCTCTAGCAACAACGGCTGACCACCCATTCCGCAACAGATTGCTCTTCACGTACTCCCAGCACTACTGATTCTCCAGTTTCTGATATTCATTTTGAACAGAACGATCTAGGGTTTGCATCAGTTTCCATTCCAGTTCCTTCAATTCTCCAGTTTAGCTCCCAATCATGGCTCGCTACGCCGTCGTCGCTTTCGCTCTCCTCGCCCTATTCGCGGTGTGCCACGCGCGGCCCGCGCCGATCGACGACGATATCACCGACAACACCGTTGTCCCCGATCTCAAGGGTCTCTCCCGGGAGAAGATTCAGGAGCTCGCGTTGACAGATCTGGCCGCATGGGACGAGGAGGACAACGGCGTGAGTGCCGCTGAGGCCGATAAGATTGTCGTCGATGAGGATAACACCGTTTCCGCTACTGACGACGCCGCTGACGACTCCGACAATACCGTGGCGGCTACTAGCGAGGATGTCGCCGATTCCGAAAACTCCGTCGTCGCGTCGTCCGCGGACGTCGCCGATGACGACAACACCGTGGCTGTTGCCGAGCCTGCTGACTCGGACAACACCGTGGCTGTGGTGGCTGCCGAGCCTGAGGATGATGTTGTTGCCGTGATGCCCGAGGACAACGTTGCTACCGCTTCCGCCGCCAAGTCGACCGACATGGGTATCGCCATGGTTGTGTAAATTTCTGTCCCGCAGCTTTTATTATTTTCGTTGACTTGTACGGAATGTTTTGCAACTGTACTGTATTAAACAAATAGACGTATACTAAGGATCCCTATGGTTCTTGTACTTGGCTTCGAAAGACTTGCTAAAACCTCTTATTGGTGGCCAAGCTTGCCTGTTCATGCTAATTGAATGTCACTTTCACGGAGAATGTTATTAATGAACTTGCAAGGTACGCCGAATAATAAATCGAGAATGGAAATTACAGAATGACGATACATTGAAAGTGACGAGGTCTAAATAGGGGAAAGCTAGCTAGGCGGGAAGGTCGGACGAAGATGGCTCGGTGATGTTGCGATTGGAGCGGGGGTCGAGGCGGGAGTGGTTCGGTGCGACAAAATAGGCCGAACAGGTTCGTCGCGTGACCCTCGGGATAACCTCGCTAACGAGTGCCTCATTAAGAATTTGTTAAATCTTACAGAGAATGAATATGGGTACGTTTTGTATCTACGGTTGTTTGCTGGTATGGTAGTGGGGCAAAGTGCAGCCAGATCAGATCCACTGCGCTTGAAGTTGCGGTCAGAGCCTACAGGGTCCACCTCGTCATCACCAGAATATGTAGGTTGTAGAATGTGTAGGCTGTAGTGAGTACAACACTTTAGGTCAAACCTAGTAACTGGAACGGTACTCATCCTTGCTTGCTAGTCAATCATTCCTGCACAGTTGATTCTGACATATGAAGGCCCACGAGCGACAATTTTTATTACGGTTCGTTTGCAGGAACCCATTGGCATGAAATACCGTACTTGCTACGGTATAATAACTTGTCGAATTAGGCACTTAATTCTACCAATAAGAAAATAGCTACAGGTACATTGCAGTTCATATGAGCAAGTCGCTGGGAGAGACATGCTTGCAGAAAAAGCAGTGCTGGCAAAACAGCTTGCACCGCCAGTGTAATCACAGACCAACAAGCAACCACAATAAGTCGGAAGCAGTAGCCCCGCCATGGCCCACTATCATGCGAGGTGGATCAGCAGCTGGAGAGCCTGCCAAAGGGTGACACACGATTGTGGTTGGTGGATAGGAAATGCAACACAAAAGGGGGAGGGGGAAAGGTGTGGAGGGGGAATGGAGGGGGGGAAGGTGAGTGGGGAAGATGGGGGAGGGGGTGGGGGGTTGAGGAAGCGGGAGAGGTTATAGGGGCCATGTTTGCGTTGCGATGGTGGGCGTGCTGTGCGTTTAGGATGTCTTATGAGAGTGGGATGATTGTGCAAAGCACATAAGCACGACAAGTTGTTCCCCCTCACCATAAACCCCCTCACCATAAACCCCCTCACTTCTCGTTTCTTCACTTTCCTTCCCCACCCCTTCCCCTTCTGTACCTCTCACCTTACCTCTTGTCTCTCCCCTCTCCCGCACTCCCCATCCCCCCTACCTCTCCCTTCCCCACCGCTCACCTTCCCTCCTACCTCTCCCCTCCCCACCGCTCACCTTCCCTCCCCCGTCTCCCTTGTTCCCCTCTTTCCCACTCTACAACACTCACCTTGCCTCGCCCTCGCTCCGAGCTTTTCCATGCCACACCTCCCAACTGCTTCCCCATCTTCCTCTCTCTCTCCCTCTACATCCTTACGTTTCCCTCGCACCTCCATCTTTCCCTCACCCTCCGCGTCTCACCCTGGTTCCCCCCCCTCCGAGCCTGTCCAAGCCATAAACTTGCCTATCTTCCGCGTCCTCTCCATCCTTGCCATTCCCTTGCAGCTTCACTCTTCTCCTCACCTCCACTCCGCCACTCACCTATGCTCGCCCTCGCTCTGTGCCCGTCTGAGCCACGGCCGTCAGCAGCTTCCCCATCATCCTCTCCCCTGCACATCCTTACATTCCCCTCGCACCTTCACTCTTCCTTACTCTCCCATTCCCTTCACACACTCACCTTTGCTCGCCCACGCTCCGAGCCTGTCCGAGCCACGGCCGTCAGCAGCTTCCCAATCTTCTTCTCCCTTATCGCCTTCCTGTGCCCCCCACCATTATTATCCCACAGAACCACCAGAATCGCCGTCGCCTCTTCCTTCCCCTTATCCGATCCTCTCTCCAGCGCCCTTGCCAGTGCACCCACCCCTTCTGCCTGCACCACCGCCTCCCTCCCCTCCGGCCTTGTTACAAGCTGCCTCATTGTAGCAAGAGCTTTGTCTGCTAGCCGGTGGCCGGGTGCGCGCGTTATAATGTGGATTAATGCGCGGTGGGTGCCGGAGAGAAGGAGAGTTGACTTGTTGGAGGTGAGGTGGGAGAGGTTGAGGAGAGTGAGAAGGGCGTCTTCTTTGGCTCGGTCTGAGTTGGCCGGACAAGCCGAGGGCTGCCGCTGGGGCTTTTCGTCTAGTAGGATGGAGACGAGGAGCGGGATCGCGCCGGCCGCGCCGATGTCCAGCCGGGCGGCGTCGCACGTGGAAAGAACGAAAAAGGCCGCAATCGCCGCGTCCCGGACGGCGGTCGGGGCGGCACGGAGGATGTGGACGAGGATTGGGGCGGCACCAAGATCGGTGATTAGATTGCAGTTGATCGGATCTAGAGTGAGATTGACTAAGGCAAAAGTGGCAGTCTCTGCTAAAACCCAGTTGGTATGAGCAGAGTTGAAAGAAGGGGTGGTGGAAAGAGGAGGAGCAGTATCAGAAGAGAGGGAGCGAGAGGGGGTGGTGCCAGCATGTGGAGTGTGCGGGTGGTGCAGTGCAGGAAAGCCGGGGTGTGCTGCAGAGAGGTGCCTGGGAGTAGCATTGGCAGCAGCAGCAGCAGCAGCAGCAGCAGCAGCAGCAGCAGACCCATACCCAGCAGGGTAAGGGGATGGGAACGAGTGAGAAGCAGCCAAGGAGGGGGTTCGAGTGGGGGAAGGTGCTCGCATGGATCCTGCTCGCTCGGAAAAGGGAGTGGCTGGGATGCCATAGCCAGGAGCAGAGGAGGAGTAGCGGATGGGAGGGTGGGAGGGGGAAGGGGCCACCCAGGGGTGTGCTGTGAGGGGCAGGCCAGGCATGGCAGGGGAGGGGGGAGGGTACGGATAGCTTGTAGCAGCAGAAGCAGAGTACGGAAGACCAGCAGCTGAGGCAGAGTACGGAAGACCAGCAGCTGAGGCAGAGTACGGAAGACCAGCAGCTGAGGCAGAGTACGGAAGACCAGCAGCAGCAGCGCCAGGGGGAAGAGGGAGCGGATCCCCCATGCCTACTCCTCCCGGTCCCTCCTGCTTCTCCTGCTTCTCCTGTTTCTCCTGGCTCTGCAACAGTACCGCCTCCACCCCCACAGGCAGCCCAGCAGCAGCAGCAACGCAGTCAAGAAGCGGCCGCAGCACCCCTGCCTGCCTCAAGTGCTCCCGCGCGTCCTCGTCCCCCCGAGCCACCTCGCGGATTCGCCCTGCTGCGTGCAGCCGTGCAGGCTCGGAGCCCTGCAGCATCCGAACCAGCTCGGCAGGCTCGGCGGGGTGGAGGAAGATGGCAGGGAGGGGGTTCTTGGGGGGAGGAGGGGGGATGGAGGAACGGCTGAGCTTGTCCTTCTCTTTCTCCCTCTCCCTCTCCCTCTCCTTTTCCTTCTCCTTCTCCTTCTCCCTGCCCCTCTCCCTGTCTCTCCCTCTTCCACGCTCCGACGCTCTTTCATCAAATGCTGGTGGGATTGCACTCGTCTTCTGCTCCCCCTGCCTCTCTCTTGATTTCTCTCCTTCCTCCTCCCGCTTTTCCTTTTCCTGCTTCTTCTCCTCTCCTTTCTTCTTGCTCTTCTCACTGACCTTCCTTTCCTGCGGCTGCTGCTGCTGCTGCTGCTGTTGCTGCTGGTTCTCAAGCCCCAGGTGTTTTGGCAGGTGGTCAGGTGTCAGGTGCTCTGGCTGCGGTATCATCTCCCCCTCATTCTGGTGCTGCTGCTCTAACCACTGCTGCACCTTCCGTTCAGACTCGAACGCCTGAGACTCCAACTCTCTCTCTCCTTCCCCTCCTTCTCCTTCTCCCTCCCTCTCTTCCCTCTCCTCCAATCCTTCATCTTCCCCAACTTCCATCACCATCACCACCTCTTTCACCTCTTTTGCCTTCGGAGTAATGGCTTCTGCCATTTTCTCCCTTGTCCCGGCTCCTGCACGCTCCTGCTGATGCCGCTTCTTAGGTGTTTCCTCAGGTGCTTTTTCAGGTGTTTTCTCAGACGCCCTTTCCACCTGTTCCTTTCCACCCGTCTTTTCCTCATCCTGCTGCTGCCCCAGAAAAGGGTGTGCCTTGCTGTTGCCTTCCTCCCTTGCAACCTCCCTTTCACCAACCCTTGCCCCTTTCCCCTTTTCCCCTCCCCCTCCCTCTTTCTCACTCCATTCATACTCTTTAGCCCCAGCAAAGCACCCAGCCAACTCATTCAGACACCCACTCGCAGGAGCACCAGCGCAACTCTCGACCTTCCCAAACTGCTCCTTCTTCCGCCTTGCCGCAGCTGCGGCGGCGGCTCGGCGTGCAGGTCCGGACGGGGTGGTTGGGGAAGCAGGTCCGGGGGCAACAGCTGAGGTAGGCAGAGTGACAGGCTCGGGAGCAGGTTTGGAAGCAGGTTTGGCAGGAGGTGCGGATGGAACAGGGGTTGCAAGTTCCTCTGGTGCTGTTGCCCCTGCTGCTCCAGCAGCAGCATCGACAGCAGCAACAACAGCAGGAGCGGCTGCATCAGCAGCAGTAGGAGCAGGAGCAGGAGCAGAAACAGCAGCAGGGGCAGGAGCAGCAGCAGCAGCAGCAGCAGCAGCAGCAGCAGCAGCAGGGGCAGGAGCAGCAGAAGCAGCAGGGGCCGGGGCGTTGGCAGCCTTGGCCTTGGCAGCAGCGGCAGCGGCTCTCCTAGCTGGGCCCGACAGATAGATTGCTTTGGCCGACCGTACGGAGGAGAGCGAAAAGGAAGGGGTGGAGGAGGAGGGGGTGGATGGACCAGCAGGTTCTTCAGCAGCCGAATCAGCAGCAGAGGTAGAGGCAGTTGGGTGCTGGGAAGGAGTGGTTATTCCAAGTCCAGTGGCAGCACCAGGGGCAGGAGTGGCGGTCACATCAGCAGTAGCAGCAGCAGTGGATTGTTCCTCCTGTGCAGGTGGAGCTGTTGCAGGTGTATCTGGTGCAGGTACAATTGGTGCAGGTGACGGTGCAGGAGGAGGGAGAACAGACGATGGGCTGCTGCCAGTGCTCGTGGCAGCTGCTTTCCCTCCCTCTCCGTCGCTGCTGGCAGCTTCAGGTGCCTGTTCAGGTGAAATCTCAGGTACTTCTGCAACAGACGGGAGGCCACCTTGGCTGAAGCTAGAGATGATCCCCAGGCCTGGCTCCGAACCAGCCACAGCAGGTTCGGCAGGAAGAGAGGGAGCAGGTTCGGCGAAAGGGATACCCAGGCACTCCTCTCGCATAATTTTGACCACAGATAAGGCAGCTCCTATCAAAGCAGGGTTCTTGAAACGAACTATCGCTGCAGGTGCTATCGGGGCATACTCAAACGAGGAACCCACGGAGTTAGGCACGGAAGCGTCCGAACCTGAGTCCGTTGCCGTACCTGCCACCGAGCCAGAATCCGTGGCTGTCCCGGCTTCGGTACCTCTTCCGAGCCCGTCATTGTCACTGTTGCTATTAGCACTGTGGTAACCAGACGTTCCCTCGCTACTAACGCTGCCGTTCATGCTCCCGTTGTAAGGAAAGCTCTTCCGTCTCGCCACTCGCCCCCTCACTGTTCTGTTGCTCTGCCTCCTGCTGCTGCTGCGCCGGCTGCTGCCGCTGCCACCGTCGTTCTCACACTCCTCCTTAATCTCCTCTAAAGCCACAATTTCCTCGTTAAAGTCCTCCTCCGTTATAAGATCAAGCTGCCCTGCCAGCATCAGCAGGCTGCGGCGCTTATCGGGGGCAACATAAATGCTGCTGCTTGCAGCGCAGGAGCACCTACCGCTGCTCCCCCTGCTGCTGCTGCCACTGCCGCCACTGCCGCCACTGCCGAAGCTGCTTCCCTTGCTGGAACTGCTACTGCCGCTGCTGCTCATGCTGTTGCTGTTCGCAGCGCCGCAGGTGCAGGCATGGGGGGGCGGAACGAATGAGGCGATGGTGTCGCGGCAGCGGACGGCGGAGGGCTCAACGGGGTACTGCGCGCGCGATAGCTTCGAGAGAATGTGGGGAACCTGCGGCGCGGGGGAAGGGGGGGCGGCGGAGGGGTGAAGCGAGAAGAGTGAATTAATGGTGGGACGAGGAGAGCGAGGCGATGGCATCACGGCAACGAACGGCGGAGGGCTCGACGGGGTAGTGCGCGTGAGACAGCTTCGGGAGAATGCGCGGAACCTGCGGAGCGGGGGAAAGGGTGGAGGCGGAGGGACGAAGCGAGAGGAGTGAGTGAGGCGATGGCGTCACGGCAGCGGACGGCGGAGGGCTCGACGGGGTAGTGCGCGTGAGACAGCTTGGAGAGAATGTGCCGCACCAGAGAGGGAAAGGAGAAAGGGGGCGGCAGCGGGGGTAGAAAAGCGGAGGGGTGCGGAGAGAAAGGGGTACATGGATGGGGCGATCAGGGCGCCGTGGTGGCGCCACGACAGCGCATGGCAGATGGCTCGGCGCGCTACTGCGAACCGGGGAGAGCGGAATTTTGTTTTACATAATCTACACAGATTGAGCCTGTGTGGATACTGTACCCACTACTAGAGGGTTGATAGCCCCTTGAAATTGGCGCCTCCCCGCTTTACCTGGAACTGCCATCCCGATGCTTGTCCGTGCGACAGTCCGTGCCAGTGCGGCTGCTGCACGGGCGACGGCTCGACGACGGAGTGTGCGTCGCGCAGGGCGTCGCCCAGTCGCATGGTCAGGTCCTGAAACTTTTGCGCTGCCCATTCCGAGCTGATCGCCTGAGTAAGAAACGGAAGGGGAGGCGGAAGAGACAAAAATATGCACGAATTGCGGATTGAGCGGACAAGGGAACGAAAGTTTCAAGAGTTTAACGAACCTTTTCGAAAGCAGAGGGGCGGGAGAGGGGAGAATAAGACGGGGATAAGAGAGCATGCGGCAGGGCGATTGCGAGAATACGTAGCTGTGTTGCGAGGGAAATTTTGCCTTTCTACCCGCAGTCATGTTACACGTGGTGCAAACTCCCGATGCACCATTCTACCCGCGGTCCCGATAAACTCACGATGTACGCCTTGCTGCGCGCCAATGAGCACCAGTACAGCAATCCGGAAGCTTCCTCCAGCACAGCCCTCAAATCGTCCAACGCCGATTTCAGCAGGATATTTCCGCGAAGCTGCTGCCGCTGCGCGCTCCACGCGTCTACCAGCGGCTCGACGTCCTCCAATAAGGAGAGCAGCAACGCGCAGTGGCTTCTAAGAGCCGATGCGCATTCCGGTGGCGGCGCGTTGTCTTCATCGAGGATGGATGTTAGGAGGAAGGCGAGGCGGTCTGTCAGACCGTAAAAGTCCATTCGGGCAGTCATTGTCGATGAATCGACGGACCGCTTCGGCCGTATTATTTTTGGAACGGACGAACGGCGTCTAAGCTGACGGGACCAATTTGCGTAATCTTGGTTAAATATGAAGGGAGCGATGCGGACGGCTACTATGCTAAGGTAGAGATTTAATGGGTGCCGGCGCGGAGTTAACTAAACGCCATTATCTGACTTGCCAAACCTTTTTTTCTCTGGTCTCTCACCGTTGCAAGCACTAATCGTCTCGCCAGTATGTGCGGGCCTGCTTTCATTCGCATCGCATTGCATCTCACGAAAAAAATCGGTGCGATTAATTAAGAGAGAAAGAGAGTGATCGATGGTACGCGTGGTTCTCGATATAATTGAAAACGTTTCAGTACGGTGGGGAACGATCAAATGACTTTGGAGGGGCACCCTGATTTGCGCCACATCGACTTGCTCCACCCTAAGACATTTTGCATATCACCGAGTCGCTCGCTCTTAACCACAGCCCCGGCCGGGGCGCATATCGCCGTAGCCGAACCGGCCGTTGCTTTTGACAATAAGAGGAGGCTCTACATTCGGACAAGCTTGGGATTCGCTGTCGTGAGGGATGTGGTGGTTTGGGGAGACTTCGAACCTGAAGCAAACTCGGCCAAGGGCTTGTAATGTGGTTTATGGGTCCGCAAACAGTAACGCCGAACTAAAAGCCTGAGCTGGACAGGAATGTCCAAGCGAGTGCATTAGCTCAGGTGTGTCACTAGTCACAAGGCTCGGAAGGTTTTGTGACCACGTCCAAGTCTCAACATCACACCCTTCAGCTTTGGTTTCACAAGGATAACCCAGATCGAGAGACTCGGTTACGATACTAGCTGTTACGCTAGTACCTGAGAAAAAATCACCGCTGTTTTAGATAATGACAACAAGTTGCTTTGTGGAACCGCATGGCTCCTGAGATTAGCTCACTTGCAGCGGCTGTCACATCAGAACCATGCAAGAACTGGATCATTAATGTTTGAGGGGAAATCTATTTGACATCGTTGTCGTTTGAAGGCCACACTTCATACGACTTCATGAACATGTGACATTGTAGGACTGGGTGCAATGAAGCAAAAATGCCATTTCTGTGAAATGGCTAAGGAAGGGAATGACTAGATTAGGTCAAGGGAGGGGTACAAGACAAGTGTCGAGAGAAATGTTGTAGCCCTAAGGGGCAACTCACTACAGGTTAAACTAACATATGCAATGTGACTTTGACATACCCTCATAGCCTTACTGAGATGCATCAAACCGACCGCAACAAGCATGTGGTCACAAGACCAATCTAGAGAAGAAAGCTAAGCAAAGCTCGGGGTGGATCTCAAGATCACCACACATTCTGAGCACAAGCAAGCGCCCACAAGGCCAGTGCACATGCACAGATTATAAAGCAAGTGCACTACACTGATTACAACCTAGCAAGAGCATACATCCAGATATAATCATATGTATCAGTGTAAGATCAAGAGATACCGTAATCACCCGGACATACCACCCGCCGAAATTGTAGACCCCCCGGGTGGCTTGTGCGGGGTGGGTGTTATAGTTGACCCCGTTTGTATTATACCCCCCCTTTTGGGGTGATTTTTTATAACACCCCCTTTTTTACACAGAATGCCTTATTTTAGGTGTTAACGAGTATGTGCAATGACGGGGGGGCATCGCGATGATCACTTTTTGCACGAAATTACATGGTAATTTCGAAAGTATCTGCTGGGGTCACCTCCGTCCCACTTTTTCACTGTTGCCACGCTGGTAGTTCTTTCGCTATCAAGTGGCCAAAGAGGTGCCACCTCGCAACTTCAAGGAGGAGTCAATGTTGTCGTCGAAACTGACAATCTCGCTTCCAACTGTGATGCTAAACCAACCTTGAAAACACCCAAGTTGCCTATTTATAGAAACCCTTACACTAAAAAAATGTCATATATATGCACCCGGGTGGTATGTAGCTTTTTCCTATGAGAAGACCCCCCCCCATTTTTTTGCTGTATTTAAAGTAAGACCCTAGGGTGTTATGTCCGGGTGATTACGTAAGCAAGTGAGGCAGAGTGGGCACAAGTCCAAGAGCAGTGCAGAAACGCTGATGATCACTTGACCCAAGGGCCTTGGTGAAGACATCAGCAGTGTTGGCCTGTGTGGCCACGTAAGCAAGACGAAGCTGACCACACTGCTGCAGCTCTCACGTGAGGAAGTAACGAAGAGCAATATGCTTCGTTCTGTGCTCCAGTCTCTGGTCCTGACACAAGGCAATCATGGCCTTGTTGTCAACGTACAGAACTGGAGGAGAACGAGACCACTCACTCAAGTCGGTCAGTAGGTAGGTCAGCCAGCGGAGCTCCTGTGCAGCTATAGCCCCAGCGTAGATCTCGGCCTCACAGCTGGAACTAAGTATAGAAGACGAGCGAGTGGACCCCCACAAGACAGAACCAGCGCTGAGGCTGAAACTGTATCCCTGTGTCGACCAGTGAGTCGTCTGGTCGCCAGCCCAAGAAGCGTCTGAGTGACCGGTCAGAACAACTGAACCCTGTCCTCCAAGCACGAGCCCCATGCCCGATGTACTGCACAAGTAACGCAATACCCTCTTCGCAGCTTCCCAGTGCACCTTTCAGTATCTACCGGGAGCCACGTAGCGAGCCAGGAGGCTGAGAGGGTACGCGAGGTCAGGTTGTGTGCACGTCATCAGGTACATGAGGCAACCCACAAGCTCTGGGTACGGACCACTCGGCTCTACAGACTCGTCCGAAGGTGGAGCTGAGAGAGAGTGGCTGGTAGACAGAGGAGTGGGGTGTGGCGAGGACCACGAGAAGTCGAAGCGCTGAAGGACCTGCTGCACCATGCGTGACTGAGGGAGGGTGATGGTGCGACGTGCTCTGTCCCGGATGATTTGCAAGCCAAGATAGCTCCGCAGCTCACCCAGGTTATTGCAGCTGTGTCTCTCCTGCAGCTCCGCCTTCACTAAGGCCAAAGCCTCAGTGTCAGCAGTAGCAAAAACCAAGTCGTCAACGTATACGAGAACGTAGAACGGCGGCAGAGAAGTGTCTGTGCGCAGAAACAGTGAAGGGTCAGCAGTCGGGGGAGCAAAGCCAAGAGCCGCAAGTGTAGTCCTCAGTGTGTCGTGCCACTCACAGGGCGCCTCTCGTAGGCCGTAGACTGGTCGCCGCAAACTCCACTGGGTACCCTCAGGAAATGACCCAGTGAAGCCACGTGGGTGGCGCAAACAGATAGCCTCGTGAAGGCTGTCCTGCAAGAAGGCTGTCGAGAATTCGAAGGAGTGCAAGTCGTAGTCGCGCTGTGTTGCAACGTACAGTAGCACCCGAAGAGTGGTCATCTTCGGGGTGGGGGAGAAGTTCCGGAAGAAGTCGACCCCCTCACGCTGACTGAAGCCTCGTGCAACGTAACGCGCATTGAAGGCAAGAGGAGAACCCGACAGCCGCTTCACTCTGAAAATCCACATGCCATCGACTATGTTCGCCCCAGGTGGGGGAACCTCGTCGACGTAGGTGCTTGTGGAGTTCCAGGAAGCCATCTCTGTGTCCATGGCTATCTGCCATTAAGAGGAGTACGGACCCGTGATCGCCTCTGCGTAAGAACGCGGGGTCGGGATGTCTGGTGCATCCGGGTCTCCCTCAGGGCAAAGTAGCGTGGACGCGAGATGAGGTGCAGCGGCCGCTAGGCACTCCAGCCCAAACTGCATGTCCTCAAGAACGTCACAGCCAAGGGCAAGCTCACCCCCGATGGACGAACGACAGGAAGAGTAAAAAACAAGACTCGAAACGTAGTCAAGGCGGCACAAAGCAGCAAAGTCAACAAGCTCAGCAACTAAGGCAGATGCAACAGCAGACTCAAAGGAAGGGTCAGTCACAACCGTGGTAAGGAGACGAGCGACATTCGGACTGGCAGTACGGACAAGGTCTGACTTAGGGTCAGGAACGTGAGGAAGAGAAGACGCAGGAGGAGACCGCAGGACAACACGCTGTTGAACAGAGGAAGGACGAAGTGCCATGATGTGCGTGCTAGGGACAGGTGGAGGACGAGGACGCACAGCACGGCGAGAACGGACATGCGTGACAGGACGCGACGCACGCTCTCTACGCTCAGTGAAGGACTCTGTCATGGCAGTGTGAGGAGCAGGAGCCGGCAGTGGGGAGCCAGGCAATAGCTGTGGCTGAGACTGGACAGTCAGTGGGAACAGCAACGGAGGAGTAGTACCAGCAACAGGGAACTCAGTAGCAGCAGGCGGGAGACTGAGAAGGTGAAGAAGCGCAGACTGCTACGGCTGAGTAGTCGCACCCCCAGAATTAGTACCTCCAGTTCCACCACCGGGACTGCCCCAATGGACAGCCCACTCACGAAGTTGCTGCGGTGGCAGCAGGAGTCGGGTCACCCCCCTCAGCTTGGCCAGAGGTGTCAGAGGAGACCTTGAGTGGCTCAACCAAGGGGGAGGGGTCAACCTGAGACACACTTGAGGGAGCAGGACCCTGCGGGGGGAGTGGGGATACCGGGGGGGGGGGGGGGGGGGGGTCGGAGACCAGTGCGAGAGGCGGGAGGGGCACATGTGAACTGCGGTGGGGGTGGAGACGGTTGAAGCAGACAGACTTGTCAAAGGTGACGTCTTTGGAGGAGAGAACACGACGTGAACTTGGGTGGTAAAACTGCCAGCCCGGGGCGTCGGTAGGGAAGCCAAGGACGACGCAGCGAAGAGTGCGGGGAGAGAGCTTCCCCGCGGGGGGGTCGCGAACAAATGAAAGGGCACCCCAGACCCGAAACGCCGAAGCATCACCAACCTCGCCCGTCCACTGCAGAGTGGGAGAGGTCTCCGGGTGGGAGACATGGGGCCGGAGGTCGAGTTGCTCAGCAGCGTATCGAACCGCAAACGATAACAGAAAATGGGGAGCAGCCACATGGACGATGGAGGTGCGAGCAACCTCCATCACCAAGCCAGCTGGAAGCGTGAATGTCTGGCGGATGCCCTCAGCACC